CAAAATACAGTGTATTTTTTAGGGGAAACGGTGTTCTTCATTTTGAAAGTGCTGGTGCTTGTGAACCCAGCAAAATTGAGAAATCATGGATCAGTCCGTTTTCCATTCCAAGTCATATTATTTTATGGTATAGGAACATGTTTTTGATTCCTTTAATAGCTGGTTTCTAGCTTATAGAATGCTAGAACTCACAAGGTTCTTCCTAACGATGAAGACTTTAACTCTTTTAAAACAAGCTGTGCCACAGCTCCTGAGCTAATGATGCCCTGCTTCCTGCAAATCTGAGTTTCATGACTTAATTCTCTGTCACCTAATAAGAGGTATTTTCAGATTAAAGCCTTAACTATTACTGGGCCATTCTAAATATTTTCCCCTTTTAGATTCTCTGATGTCTAATAATGATTGAAATCAGGTCCTCTCCCACTGTGGAAGAACTAACAAGCTTTCTGGCCTCATCCCCCCACCAGGTATCATTTTGCCTTAAACAGCTGCCAGGTGTGGCTGTAGCTGGATTCTGCACTTGAATCAGAGCAACCCTGAATATACATACGGGCAGGGGTGCAAGAGGCAGGAGAGCAGCCCCATGGAAAGAGATCTGGGGTTTCTGGTTGATGTCAAGTTGAAATTGAGTCAGTAGCATTCCCTGGCAGCCAAAAGGATTCTCTAGGGTGCATCAAGCCTATAATGCCAGTCGGACAAGGGAAGGTGTTGTACCATTCTGCACTGTGCAGCCTCACCTCAAGCACTGCCTGTAGTTTGGGTTGCCACAATATAAAAAGGACATAAAGATATTAGAGAGCATCCAAAGGGCTATGAAGATGGGGAACGGTCTGAAGGGCAAAACGGCTGAGGTCCCTTGGTTTGTTCAGACAAACTGATGTGAAGCCTACAGCTCTTCATGAGAGGAGTAGAGCTACAGTGCTGATCTTTGCTCTCTCAATGACAAGATCGAGGGAATGGCCTGGAGCTGCACCAGGAATGACTCAGGTTGGGTGTTAGGAAAATGTTTTTCACCAGGGGGTGATGAGGCCCCAGAACAGGGCAGTGGGCATAGCTCCGACTGGTGGAGATCAAGGAGCATTTGGCCAGTGCTTCAGACATCGGGTTTGGATTTGGGTGTTTTATGTGGAGCTGGGAGTTGGACTCGATGATTCTTTGTGGTTCCCTTCCAAATCATAGGAATTGATTTTCTATTTTCTATAGGATATTCTATGACACTATGATTCTAAGGCTTTCTGTGAATTTTTTTATTGTTATTATTTTTTTTTTTTTGCACAAGCTACTGTATCGAGAAGGGCACACTTAAATCCAGCTGATGAATTTCAGGGAGAGAAGATTTATGAGATTTTCAGTCTTTTTCATCTCGTAAAATACTTCCTCTATTAGGATTTACAGTTTGCCATACCATAGCTAATTTAGCCCACAAAGCATCCTCTATAGAATGATAAACAAAAATTATTCTTCCACTGTGTACATAGATTATAACTTTGTTTATCATTTTCCACCTGAATATAAGGAAGGACTATCGTGTCAGGTACAGCTGTGCAAGTTCAACCAGTTAAGAGAGGGTCCTGTAACAAAGTCATTATTGGACTTCCCTTATTCTGCTGCTACGTGATAAGGAGCAGAGTAAATTAAATTTCCTGTGAGTCACCTGCAGTTGTAGGAGAAAATATTGCTTAGTCCCTGCTACAATGTGTGGATTTGTCTATCTGTGTGCACAGATGTGGTAAGTATGCAGAGTCCCACTGAGGAGAACAAGCCTGTTATTTTGCAACAGGCTGTTGGGAAAACAGGCCATTTCAGGGGCACCTGCAGCTTCCAGAAGGAAAGAAAGTTAGCTGGGTAGTGTGGAAACTCCTGCAAATGGGTCGAAGAGTAGTGTTTTTAAAAGCCAGAAAGCAGGTGCACACAATGTCCTTTTTGAATGGAGCAATGGTGTCAATAGGCAGGAAACCAGAGCAGCCCTACTGCTCATTAATTCTGTTTCTCCTTCCACCATTTCCTGCTCATTAACTTTCTCCTGTGCTTTCCTTCTCTGCTAGAGTGCATAACTCAGTCTTAGTGGTTGTCTTAGAAAGGGAAAAGTGTTGAAAGAAAAAGACAGAATGAGAATCTGCGTTTCTCACCTCTCTCTAGATATCTTTGCTGCTACAAAGAAATGCAGTATTTTATACTTCCTCAGAAAGATGTATGCAAGTCAGGTTTAAGGAAGGTATGTGCCCTCCAGCCAGGATTTACCTCTGTGTTGCTTATTCCATCAAGAAAACTTGTTTTTTCTGAAGGGTTTGTCTCACCCGTCTCTGACTTTCACCTGTGCACTAAATCCTTCAGGAAGAAATAAACACAAGGATCTATTTTTGTTTTAACTGCCTTTTTGTAAAGGAGGCAATTTCTTGTTGCTGCCCTCAATTTTTGTTGCACTGAAGGCTTCTTGCTGATTTTTACAAGTTTTGGTATCTATGTGATGATACTGTTATGTTTGGCTGCTAGTGGTCTCAACTTGAAGGACTATAGACACACGTGTCAGCAGAGTGTGCAGTTGTTCTGTGAGCACTTCAGCAAAGACCTCCTTTCTCACGGGTACCTGTTGATTTATTTCAGCCTGTGTTTCTCACTGCTGAATCAAAGGGGTGTAAGCTTATGGTCCCAGACAGTGTCCAGAATGGACAAGGGACCAGAGGAATTTCTCTTCAACCACTTTTCAGCACAAAAAGTTCACTACAGTAAGTCTCTACAGAGATATCAAGGGTGGCTGCAAGAGACAAAGGATTTGTAGGCTCTGGCTTAGCCCCTCAGGATGGAAGACCAGCAGTCTGTCTCCTGAGGTGATACAGAGCTGCCAAGAACTATAATTTTCACTATAGCTTTATTTTAATCTGTTGTATTGCAAAGCAACGAGAGTGGCAGTGTCTTACTAATTATTTCACACCCTTTATCCAGACCAGTTAGCACTGTACCATTACAAGGGGTGGGATTGTGGAACCACAGTCAGGCCCCCACGTAGAGTGGACTACACGACATAGGGTTGCTCTGCATATGTTTGGTTAGACTGACTTGGTCTTTTCACATCAAAACTTTGCCCATGATCTGGATTGCTTGAAACTGTTCTGCCATAAGGCACTGATTCCAATTAAATTGCCATTAACGGCTACAATAACATATGCCTGTGATTGTAAACACCTTGATTAGGTGCACTAGGCTTTCATGTCAGCTTTGCATTAATATCAGCAAAGCCACATAGATGTGAAGAAGTGATACAAGCAGCAAAGAGAAAACCAAAAAGAGAAAACTATTCATGCTGTCTAACAGATTCTTAGCAGCGAGTTCCAGGCCAGGAAGACTTTTCTTGGCTACTTTCAGCTTCAATTTATTCCAGTTGTCTCCTGCGCAGCTGAGTAGCCATGGGACGAGCGCTGTGGGTGAGGAATGCCCAGTGCTGACAGTATTTTCATTCAACATTCATTTTCAAAACGTATAGGGATGGGAGGATGGAGCTATGAAGAACAAACCCCAAAAAAGCCAACATGCATTATTTGGGACAAACGGACGTGATTATAGATCCTGAAGGTGCTATAAAACTGATGGATTACAGGCTCAGCATCTCTGGGATTTGAGCTGTCTGGCTTCCACTGTGCTTTCATTGTGTCAGCTCCCCCACTTTTCATTGCTTTTTTGCTGGAAACATTGCACTGCAGCACAAGTGAAGTAAGCAGGTCCTAACTAGATCCAACAGCTGCCTTTTGTTGCTGCTGTGGAAACAGCTGTAAGGGAGCAATATAACCACTCTTCTGTTACCAGTCATATCCTTTCTTGGATGCAGGGGATCCTGAGGCAGCTCCTGTGGTGATGCAGATGCTAACTGGGTCCACAACATGCTATTTTGTGACTCATTTGACAAACTAAGCACTTGTTGTACTGTCCCATGAGCATAAAGTTGACTGCATGGATATTTTGCACTACTTTTTTTATGAGATTCACATTTAATTTTTATGCAGGGAGAGTCTTTGCTCTGGTTCCTGTAGTAGAAGGAATGATTTTTCAGCTATTTGATCTCTTTTTCACTTTTGTGCAGTAAAACTTAACTACAATGATGAGCTTAAAATTCAAGTACTTGCAATTAGGATGCGTTAATTTTTTCTTTTCCTTTTTCAGAAATGAGTTTTGAACAGGTGATAGGGTTTTGGTTTTTTTTACCAATAATAATAATAATGAAAAGGAGGAAGAAGAGCAACCCCACTTGGACTTTCATCAGTTCTGTATTTTTCTGCCTGAGGTTATTGATTTAAAACCAGATTTGATGGAAGAATACCTAAGTCATAGGAAAAAAAAAGAAAAAACATTTAAAAATAGATCATCACATCATGGACTGTAATGGGTAATGGGTAGAGCACTTCCTGAGTGTACTTGGAATAGGACTGGAGGTTGTTCTAAAAGATATGAAGTATGTGAACGCTGAGCATCATCGTTAAGAAGTACAGTTTCCCTGAGCTTTAGCTCATGATTTTAATGTATGTCCTTGTTCACAACAGTTATCTTGTTTGAGTCTCAATTCCTTGCCTATGAAGTCAACTCATTACCCTTCTGAAGTGCTTCAAAGTCCCACTGTGGAAACAGTTCTGATAATATGTTTTTCTGCTAAGGCCAGACAGAGCATGACCATGTTTCACTGTCTAAACATTGTGTTTGATGGAGTACATTTGCTTCAGAAAATTCAGCTAAGGATCACAGAATCGGAGTGTTCAAAATATTTGCTGGTTTGGGAAAGACAAGCACACATCATGCCAGGTGTACAGACAGGTACTGCAGGAGATGGATCAAGAAGAGGTCCATTATTGATCAGTCAGAGATGTGAGGGGTAATGTTAAATATCTGCTGGGGAAAAAATAGATAAATGAATAAATGTAAGAAACTACATGAGAAACAACTGCTACCTGTGTAAGTTTCTACGCTGAATATCTGGAGTTACATTTCATTTACTCTGCTTTTTTGTATCTTAGGTTCAGGTTCAGTGGTCGTATTCTTGGCCTTGCTCTCATTCATCAGTACCTTCTTGATGCTTTCTTCACAAGGCCGTTCTACAAAGCACTATTAAGGCTGTAAGTATAAGCATACAACTGTGCAGAAACAATGCAGAAGCAGTGATCTAGCAGTGGATATTACAGAAATACAGAGTTGCTTCAAGCTCTCTGACCTTCAGTTGCTTTCTGTTGATTCACAGTTTGTTCATGATAGAAAAGAAACTCATCTTAATATTTCTTGACTTTCTTCAAAAATTTGCCCTTGGTAGATGCTGCCTGTGCTGTTATGAGTGCGTAGTAAGATATTTGAGAATATGCCTTTGAAAGTACTCACCCATAATTCCAAAGCTTAATATTGATTTAAAGTTATCAAAGCAATTAAAATATATGGAAAACTGAAAAACATCTTTGATAGAAGAACGGATATCATTATTTCCTCTTAAGAAAAAAAAAGGGGGAAGAAGCATGTTAAGAAAGATACATGATTTCTCACTGGTGGAGTAGTTTTTCACAACTTGGACTAAATTAAGAATGCTAATGCAGATGGAAACAGTGAATGTTTCTTTTTGGTCTTCTACTGCCTTTTACATTAGCAAGCAGAAGCTACTAGTAATATATTATCTTGTCAGTTCTGTAAGGTTTATAAGGTTAACTTTAACTGATAATCTGTCTCTCTTTAATAGACTGTGGGAAGAGAATGTACATAAAATTTGCAGCACTAACAAGTAGTAAGTCAAGACTATAATTGAGTGACAAAGACCACACTAAAGCATAGCTGAAATAGAGTGAGTCCAAATCAGGAAAGATATTTTTATTAAGAGTCTGAAGAGTTCTTTAACATGCATTTTGTTTTATATTTTTTCAACAGTTAGTATTGCTGGTCTCCAAACAATCATATTTACAGAATCACAGAATCACAGAATCACCCGGGTTGGAAGGGACCTCAAGGATCATGTAGTTCCAACCCCCCTGCCTAGCAGGGCCACCAGACATACACATTCAGATCAGGTTGCCCAGGACCCCGTCCAACCTGGCCTTGAACACATCCAAGGACGGGGCATCCACAACCTCCCTGGGCAGCCCATTCCAGGGCCTAACCACTCTCCTTGTAAAGAACTTCCCCCTAACATCCAACCTAAATCTTCCCTCCTTCAACTTGGATCCATTTCCCCTAGTCCTGCTGTTGTCAGCCCTTTTGAAGAGTTTACTCCCCTCGTGGGTGTAGGTTCCCTTCAGGTATTGATAGGCTGCAATGAGGTCACCCCGCAGCCTTCTCTTCTCCAGGCTGAACAAGCCCAACTCCCTCAGCCTGTCCTCATAGGGGAGGTGCTCCAGCCCCCTGATCATCTTAGTCGCCCTCCTCTGGACCCTTTCCAAAATCTCTATGTCTTTATCTGAGCTAGTACGGAAAGAGAATAAAACCTAGAGTGCTCCTGCATCCTTCTTGCTCCCTTAGGGTTTGAAACTAAATTGCCTGTAACATACATGTGCCTTTTCAATCAGCAAAACTGGCTCCTTGCTAGCAAAAAATTTAGATGCCTGTTCTGCCTTATGTCAGTCCTGTGAGCTCTGTCAAGGATAATGGATACAGGGAAGCATCCAGGCACAACATGGTGGGGCCTATGGGGCTGAAGGCAAGCATGTGCTGTGAAGTGCATGGCATCTTGAAGATGCACGTAAAATTGAACCCCCAAGAGTGCCTTCCAACAGCAAACAATACAGGCAGCCAACAGAATTGGCCTTGAGCCCAGCCATGCAGACAGTGCAGAACTACTTTAAGAGGGTTTGTGTTTCTTAACATACCAAAAAAAAAAAAAAAAAAAAAAAATCCAATGAACAAACACCAGCCTTATGTTGGATCCTTGTCATAAATTTACTTTCTTACTGGTAAGTCATCCTGACAATAGTTGTGGGTTCATACATTCACCTACACCTTTTTTCTTGCCTCACAACCAGGCCGTGTGATTTAAGTGACTTAGAGTACCTGGATGAAGAGTTCCATCAAAGCTTGCAGTGGATGAAAGATAACAACATCACAGATATCCTGGATCTCACCTTCACAGTGAACGAGGAGGTGTTTGGACAGGTGAGCACAGCTATGCAAAACATCTGAAAAGCTGACAAAGTTGAGCATGATGAACGTCTTTATGTTGGAATAGATCATTTAGCCTTTCAATAACATTTTCTTCTCCTGCCTTCTGTTTCTTTCAAGCCACCTGTTTTAATGCAGATGTTTATTCTTAGGGTCAGTAATATAAAATACCAGGCACAGCTTCCCTGCAGGCCTGTTGAGCCACACGTTCATGAACATGAGGAATTATCTGAAGTAGAGTGCAGCTCTTCTCTCTGGAGTTTAGTTCACACAGATTGTGGCATTCCGTGTATTCAGTAATGTAACTTTAAGCTGATGTGACTGAAAAGGGGGGGGTCAAAAAGGGAAGAAAAGTATTTGATGGGTCATATAAGTCATGGCAACTCTTACCATTATTTTGTCTAATATATTCCTGTTAGTTTCGCTGTCTCTTATCTACTTGCTCCTGCTTATCATCTTGCTGTATACAAGTTATTATGCTTTTTACCATTCAGCTTTAGTTAGTCAGACAATTCTCTTTAATAAAGCTGATCTGGATATCTACAACTTTAAATAGGAAACAGTGCTGACTTCAGTGCAGTCTGGTGACCAGAACACTTAGAAAGGTTTTCTGTGGGTTTCTGTGGCTTGCACTGAAGCCTTGGTGCCTTTGCTATTGTAACCCATACAGGATTATAATTGTCTCTAAAAAGTCTTGACAAGACTCAAAGCGATATTAAGTGGAAAATCTCCAAGTACATGCTGAAAGCTAGAGAGACAGAAGAACCATGCATGCCAGATAATGTAGAATCTCAAGAGAAGGAAGTTAACTGCTGTGTAAGGTGCAGAGATGCAGTGTCAAAGAGAATGGAGAGATCAGGTGGAATATACAGAACAGTGGCTTTCAGAAGAAAAGTTGACAGGAGTTAGTGCAGAGTGAAGGCATGCAGAGCAGGGAGAGAATTAGATTTGTTTTGGAGTAAACTTTCGAGCTATAAACTGTAAGTAATAAATCAAACAAGACTTCAAGGGATATTTTCAAAACTGAAGTTAGTCTGCTTGTTGTGTAAGGGAATAAAGAATCACCAGAATCAAGAACAGACGAAATAAAAGGGATGAGGCAGAAGAATTGAAGCAAGAATCCCTTATAGGAAAGACTAACACTGTTTTTCACAGACTTAAATGTAAGAAGTTCTCCTCTCAGAAGCTGAGAGTTTTCATTACATTCAATTGGCAGTACAGTCATCTCCCTGGAAGTTATGCCTACGTAAGACTAATAAATGAAGACAAACAGAAACATGCAGATATATTCACAAAGACAGATGAGAAAAGTTTGTGTTTGCATTGGAAGACCACAAAGATGATTAAGAATCTCAGCTTGAATTGCCCTAATACATCTGAAGGTGTGTATTTGGCACTCCAAGTATTTGTTGTGCACTCTCCAAAGAAAGAGCTAGGCGATTACATAGATGTCTGCTGTGGAAGATAAGAGATGATTCCAAAAAGAACATAAATAAAATTCCAATCTGTTGTAGATGCTGTGATACTAGAGCAAAAGAACACAAAATGTTTTGATGCCAGTTCACATTCTGTCTAGTACTTTATTTCGTATACCTACCAGACACTAAACTTGCTAGAACTAATAGCACGGGAAAAAATTATTCTCACAGTGAATTACGATTGTGAGAATGCAAGAGTCCTAACTGAAGGTGAGACTTTTCCCTTATGAAATTTGCTGAACGCTGACAGCAAAATACCCAAGAAATCTCGAGCACATTTTTTTCTCACAGATGGATCGCAGTTGGAATTCTTGCATGCCAGGAGTATCTGACCACTTAAATGCCATCTGCACATTTCTTTGCTATGCACAATGGGAGTTCTGCTAATATTTGGGATGCTGGATTTCAAGAGTTGGGTAAGGGAAACAAGAAATAGTGGCTCTTTGAAAAGCTGTGTTGCAGATGGGTCACAGGCTTTTTGTCCTGTTTGCACAATGACTTCATTATTGACAAGTCACTATTTCCTTCATTGTTTCTTTTTTCTTTCTTGTGCATCTCTGATTTGTGTATTTAGATTCTGATCCTTGGGGCAAAATCTTTTTTCTTGATACTTTTTTTTCTTTTTTTTTTTAAATTATAATGTACTATGAGGATCTCCAGCCCTCTTCCATACTGGTGCCTGGAGCAAACATATGGTATCAGTGCAAGCATCCCACATTTTTATTTATGGGTACTCGGTGCTAGTTTGAGAGTTTTGCTTGTAAGACTAAGAGAGGTGACAGTTGCCTGTGATTTAAAGTACTTTCCAAGCTTTTGCCCTGTAGAAAGCGTTCTTCCAGCTTTGTCTCCAAGCCCTATATGTGGATACACTAGCAATTGTTCTGGTCACGTTAAAGAAGTGGGTTAAATTTGTTGTAGTGTTTCCTTGCTGCTCTGAATGCGCTGCTCCTAATTCTAGCTCACAGCTGTGACTAATGCCTCCAAGAAAGAAAAAAGGTGGGGGAATCCACTGTCATTGATCTGCTGTTTCCAAGTCTACATAAATAACTGTATTTGAAATTATGTGGATATGCTAAAGAAATCATGAGTATGTCTAGGTATTTGTGGGAAACCTTGAAAGGAAATACAGAGCAACTGGATTTATGGTCATGCTTACAGTTAGACGACATGTATTCATTATTGATTTTAACCAGTGCAATCTAGGGAAGTACAGCATGGCATCTGAATGATGCAGCTTTGCTTGTGAAATGGTGAGTAGTGATTTACATTTGGGAAGTTAGTCTGAACCAGATGAGAATTCCTAACTCGTTACATCCAACCTTATTGTTCTTGTTTCTCTGCAAAGCTACATATTAAATGACTCACTGTGTGTTTCCATAATTCACAACTTTCTACATGTCCTTCCAGCAAAATGATGTAAATGCTGACTATACTCTGCATGCCCTTTATTGAGCTAACAAATAGATAATAATGTAAATAGTACAAGTAATGAGAATGAGATTTAATATCTGTGCTAGACATCATTGTTATAGGAGCAGAAAACTGAAGATGAGAGCAAAATGTTCTTCCTTTAAAATCCACTGGATTCAATGTGAAATTAATTACAGAATAAATAATACATCCTACCACATGTGAGAAGGAGTATATTCTTTCTAGGTACTATCTTGATTGATTCCTTAAATCACTTCTCAAGCCTTACTAACCCAAGCCAACTAAATTAACCATTATAATGCAATGCAAATCTGTTAAAAAAAGGTTACAGTACATGCTGGTTGCCATTTTCTTACTCCTATAAGTAGCTTAGGTAACTTCTCAGGTTTGGATGTCTGATACAAAACTCTGAATGCCACAGTGACTGTATTTCTCATCTGTGTGAGGTACTATCCACTGTCAGTTCTTGTTTAGGTAGTGTATTGGAACTATTTATTTTGTGGGAATTTTCTTGGCTTTTGGCATTTTTGAGTTCACATCTATTCCACACCAATTAGGTGTAAGTGTAACACTTGCTGCTTGAGAGGGTCTGTCACAAGTAGTTACGTAGCACTTCCAGTTGGCAAAACAGTCTGCCAAGTTCCAGGAGTGGAATTGTCTCCATCCAGTTGTTTCCAGTACTACTGGTTGGGTAGCCTGCATCAATAGCAAGCTGGCAGGAATATCTCCCACTTGGGAGCAAGCAGGAGAGAAGGAGATTAAAAGATTGGCCAGAATGGCATATTGCTCATATCTAATAAATTGTGCCCTCAGAATCAATCTTTGCTTGTACAGTTCAGAGTCACCTATACATCAGTCCAGCTTCATCTGGGAATAAGGCTAGGGCTGGGCTGAGAGAGGAACAGAGGTCAGAAAGCTATATGTAACTTCTGAAAGTTTCCCATTTTGCTAAAAATGTATGTGATAAACCAAAAGTTTTGAATCACTCTCTGCATGTGCTGCAGGAGTGGTTGGGGAGTGGAGGTGAGTGCCATCATTATTGCTCTTCTTTCTATTGCAGAAGGACAGGAGGCCAGGGGATAGAACTAGAAATATGGCTGTTACATTTTTCACTCATGTTTTCAAAGTACACCTTAAATCTAAAACACAATGTGATCCGTACATTGTTACCCCACTGTTCATCTTTGTTCTGTAGGTGACAGAGAGAGAGTTGAAATCTGGAGGGGCGAATACAGCAGTGACAGAAAAGAACAAAAAAGAGTACATTGAGAGAATGGTTAAATGGCGAGTGGAACGAGGAGTTGTTCAACAAACAGAGGCTCTGGTCCGTGGCTTCTACGAAGTAAGTAGCAGTAATCACTGTCTTCCTTTCATCATCTGATTGAGAAACACCTTGGTTAAACTGTGTTTCATCAGTACCCTTGGAAGTAACAAAAAGCACACAAATGGCATGGAATTAGAGTGTCTGGATTTGTAGCAGAACCACTTCATTAAGGAGCTGATGTGACTGCATTTCTAGGGACCCACTACGGTAAAGTTATTCCTGGGATACAGTCAACTGACCTGAATCTAAGGACATCCTTGTGGCAGAGCTGCTACAAGGACTGTCAAAGATGAGATGAAAACCTGCTGCTTTGCTAGGCCCTCCAGGTAGTCACCTATTCATATCCCACGCTAATCATGTTCAACCACGTATCTTTCCCTGGCAACAGTGCTATGTAAGCAGAAGTTGAGGCATATCTCACAGAGCAAAATAAACCAGAAGAGTAGGACCTCTGGAAAGCAGAGCAGCACATACTGAATACACAGAGCAGTAACAATAACTGATCTATCTCTCTGAGCAGTCATGCAGTAAAGTTTACTGAAAGTGGAAGCCAGTGGTGGTGTCTTTGTAGCTGTATACACTTGGTCAGCCCTAAGGCCACTGTACAAAATTGTAAACAAAGTCTGGTACAAAACAGATTTTTCGTATTACAGATCTAGTGCACGTGTGACCATCAAAATCATTCATCAGAATCAATGTTAACAATGAAGACTGTCTTGCTACTTACTGCCTCATTCAGGTCAAATATGTATCGTCACTGTTTGCAGATTAAAACATCAGCAGACCTGTACAGATTTATCAACAGAGTGTTAAAAGTTAGCCATCAGCATGCAGACTTCAGTAGCCAACACTTGAAGAGCTAACCATCAGAGCCCTGGGTCTAAGAGGCATTTCATCCGCTTTATTTCCAGTCTGAAACTGTGCTTACGAGTGCTCTATGTTCCAGGTTGTAGACTCCAGGCTTGTCTCTGTTTTTGATGCCAGAGAGCTGGAGCTGGTTATAGCTGGCACTGCAGAAATAGATCTCAATGACTGGCGTAACAACACGGAATATCGTGGAGGTAAACTGCCTGCTGATGCTTTCTAATATTTTGAGTGTTTTCTGTCTAAAACAGGAAAGATTTCATCCACTTTTTCCTGCCTGTCTTTACTGAAGGATATGCCCTGTTTTGTTCAGAAATTTTTTGTGAAATTTAACACACAAGAAAAAATAAGTAAGACATTAGGTTTGAATCGACAGATGTAATAACACTGAAATTGCTTCTGCTACTCCTGTCCAGATTTTACACACTCTCACTTTCTACAAGCTTAACATGAGTTTTGAATAATAAGAACTGAAGAGGATTTGCAGTAGTAGGTCTAAAACTTACTCAGATGACTGTGAACAAACTCCTAGTCTCATTGAAAGTGATATAACAAGTCCTCTTGACTTCAGCCAGGAAAGAGACTTGTGAGTTGAATTCCTCTGTTCCCAGTTACACTCCTGTGGAATACAGAACTTGCTTAGCCATCCCCTCAACCTATATCAAGTTGAACTTTTTTCATTTTCCTCTAATGCATGATCTGCTTTTGCTTTAAATATTGAGCATGATTTATCCGGGCTCTCTTGGATGATGGGTAAATGCAAAATCCTTGAGTTCTACATCACAGAAGGAAAGTCTTAGAGGTTTGTGTATCCCTCCCTGAAATACAAGCCTTAAGTCTTTGCTGCTGACTGCCCAACTATTGTGTTACATTGAAATAAACAGCTAATCACAAATACAGCTGGTCCCCCAGGTTATTATCCCTATTATCCTCCTTTTTTTTTCTTTTTTT